AAAACGCTGACGTCAGATGTCAGCGCCAGTCTCTTTTATCGAGTGCGTTTCCAAGATGGCGTACACACGAGTATTGAGCTGTGTCATGCTTGCGCTTATTTCAAGCATAATTGCGAGCATTCAATTGAATCATGCAATAATCGATATACAGGAAAACTACAAAAGAAGAAGACTAAACCTCTCAAGATTGTTATCCACAACTACAAGCACTTTTACTCGAGTAAAACGACTTAGATGCAGACGTGAGAGCAAAGAGAGAAGATTCTGGACCAGACCAGGTCGTACAACGCCTGGTGGAACAACTTTGCCGATCAAGTGGTGATACCAGAAGAGTGGAAAGAGAACTTTCGAATGAGCAGAGGCTCGCTATATAATCTAGCTGAAGAACTGAGACCATACATTCAAGAAAAAGCAACCAACATGAGGTCGCCGGTTGGTGTTGTTAAACGAGTCGCTTGTGGTGACTTGACAACATGGACGCTAACACTTGATAAGGCGCTGAAGCAAAGATTGCAGGCTCAAATCGATAGCGCATGCGCGTTCGGTGTATGACATCGTTTTATGCGTTTACGAGCGTTTTCGTGTGGACGGGTTAAAACGCTACGTAAACGATGATCGTTTTCGTGTGGACGGAGATAAAAATATGCGTTTACTAGCGTTTGCGTTTACAATCGTCTTCGTGTGGACGGGGTCTAAAAGTCGACTCTTCTCCTATTTTTTACGATCACTGGTTTTAATAGCTATCAATGATTGTTTTTCACTTCATCAAGAAAGTATTCGAGGCTTCTGGTTTTTCCAGTGAACGTTTTCCTTGCGTTTTCTCAGTTTGAGATTTCGATCCTCAAGCGAGTGTGCCATGAGTTCTATACCGCGCCATGGCCGCAGAAAATCCGCCAGTACAAACAAAGGCAAGACGAAAACCGTAAGCACGACTGTTAGCAATAAAGCTAAATGTCACTGAAGGTTGTTTAAACAAGAATAGAATAGAATATCTAAAACGCTGAAGTTGTTGATTTGTTGTTAAGTGCGGTACACAAGAAGAAACATCACTAGCAGCTTACTCCGATCTTCATCTGTAGTTTTCTGTTTTGTGTACGAATCGCCCTCTGATGATGTTTACTATCAATATTCTTCTTAATAATATACAATACAATAATATACAATATTTATAGAGCGCTAATTCTCAATGGTCCAAAACGAAATTTTTAAATCGGCCGTTTTCTTACTTGACCACGTGCACCATTGAATTCTGTTGTTGATAAATTATAGCGAAAAAGCAAGTGAGCAGTTCAAGAACCGAGCTTGAATATTGGCGAGCTACGAGACGTACTCTTCCCAGGACACCGCATCCACGACCGCCGTAGTAGAGGTCGCCGTAGCGATTTGCTTAAACTCCCTACTTTGTGGCACAACGGCTGCCGAGCCACTGACACAACTCGGTAGATTTACTTTGTGACACAACGGCCGCCGAGCTACACAACTTGGTCAATTTACCTTGTGGCACAACGGCCGCCGAACTAAACCCGGTTTGATGCATGCACCAGGAGTCGCAGACATTTTCCAAAGACGGTGGCGAACCATGCTGAAAAATATGAAGGCTTAATCCAAAGTAAAATTTAACAGCAAACTTCTGAAAGATGAACGTTTTAGACGATTCAGCAAACACAGATCGATGTACGCTTTACGAAGATTCAGCAAACTTTAAAAGATGAACGCTTTACGAAGACAGAATATCAGACCTCAGCAAATCTTTGAAAGATGAACGCCGAGGACACAAGAATCACCACACGAGTTAGTACGTCAAAGTGAGGCAAAACCTAAGCAAGCGCCTCAAAGCGAGGCAAATGTGCGTCGACGACGACGAAAATGCAATCTCAATAATGCACAGAACACCCAACACAAATTAGGGCTTGCGTTCTCGTACTTCGAACGCAATAATGCTCCAGCTGGTACTTTACTACATCATAGAAATACACTAGCTATTTTTCTCATCAGCGTGCTCGATGGGAATACTATTTATAACAGCTAGAACATTCGCCTATTTAAATTCAATAGCGCGAGCGTGCTTCATATTCCTGTTGAGCACGCTGATGACGTCTTACTCAGTAAACTATATACCTCGAGTTCTTGTGAGCTTAGCAATCCTCCCAAGACGTCTCTCAAGTGCATCCATAGCTCAACAGTACACGATAAAGTGTTAACCATGTGTTTTACAACGAAAATTTAAGAGAAAACGATTGAATTTGATAATCGATAATAGGGAAAAGAGGTGAGTGTTGTTGTTGTTGTCATCTGTGCGAGCTGTACGGGCTATGACGTGTGCAAATCATTTTTTGCAAAGTTGTTTCTTTCAAAAAATAATTTTTGGTGAATCAATACTTTTCCGGCACCTCAATATGGATTTTAAAATCTTTTGACCGTTATCTTAAGCGACTTGATTAAACTTTCTCTCAGTTTCAAGACAAAAACATAACTGTGAGGTAAAAAACCTACTCACGTAGACATTGACGCGTACTGCTTTGAGTGCACGCTATAATAATGAAAATGTAAGGTAACTGCTGCATTAATAGCTTTGATAATGTTATAAAACTGTTAGTTCAAGATTCAGCTGTGCGTATGTCGAGATATTGAGCCCTTGGGAAGTTTGGAGAGCACTCAAGAGGCAAAAAATTCTTTCGGTTGCACCTCGAGCAACTCTTACGCCTCTTTCGTGCTCTCCAATCTTCCTGCGAGCTCAATATCTCTACATACGCACGCTTACTCATGAACTAAGGGAGCAGTCATTAACTATTTGGGGGAGGGGGAAGGCTGGTAAATTTTGGGGGAGGGCCTCCCATTTAGGGAGGGCTAAATTTTTCTGGGTCCGCATTTAGGGGAGGGTTACAATTTCTAGGCGTCTTTGGGCGATGTGCGCGTACTATTAAATGGGTTTTGTGCTACTGAAATATTAAGCACTGCTTGAAATACGATGGCCGTGCAAGTAATATTAAAAGAATTGCGTACTCAAAGCTGACTCACTCGGTTAAAAAGCACTCTGATTGGCTGGAGATGAGCAGTGACTTCTTGCGGAATTGCTTCCAATTTGCTTGACTTTGAAATTTCTTTGAAAATAGCGGACGGTTTCAGTTTGGCTTTGTTGTTTAATCAACGTCATCTTCAGGTGATTTTCCTGTATTATAATA